GCCCAGGTGCAGTGTCCTGCTGCCTTTTAAGAGTGACTTAGTTCAAACCCTCCTCTCTGCATGTGCCATTTTCACATTCTGTTGTAAGTATCCTGGTTGTATTGATAAATTAGGGTAACCATTTCCTTATGACCCTTGGTATGAGATTTCAGGAGAGAAGGACTGGTGTTCTGTGGATCATTCTCAAAGCAAGAGTAAAGTGAGGATGGGTGATTACATACTTCTGAGATTGGATATGGTTTCCAGATGTGTAAAATGAATGCTGTAGCTGCCTGGCATCACTGATATTTCTCAGAAAACTGGGATTGGAGACTGCTGCTTTTCCTTGACGAAGTTCACTGATGAATCCATGAGCAGCCAGGAACATGGAGAGCAGAGACACTGGAGGGGGTATCAGTCTCCCTGTACCTCACTTGCATTATACATCTGTCACTTCAGGCCACAATCTCCATCATTTATAGACCCCCAGTGGTAAGCAGCTGTCTATCTGCATTTTCTGTGACTTCGTTAATGAGTTTTACAAGGAGTCAGCTCCTGAGGGCAGATGCAATGAGAAACAAGCTCTGTGGGTTGGCTCAGGTGCCATGTGCGTGCAGCATCATAAACTGTTGGGAAGAATGAATGATTGTTTTGAAAGGGTGAAGGCAGAAATACAAACTGTAATCTTTCCTTCTTACTTAACAAGTGCTAAGCTTTGTGCTCTGTCCCTGATGGTAAGGTGCTGCCTGGTGGCAAGGAGCAGCTCTTTCCCTTTTAAAGCACAGGAAATGGAGGCATGCAGCTTGTTGCTGGAGGAAAATCTGTTATTCAGGGTGTTTGGGTTCTCCAGTGTGTCCTTGAGTTCTGCTTGCTTGGCTAGTGTTTCTCAGTCTTTCTTAAGTTACTGTTTTTGTGGTAATCGACTATTTAAGACAAAATAAGTGAGAAGTTCCAGTGATGAGGCTGTACAGTTGGTCTGTTTTGAGTGATGGTGAGAGATTACCTTCCTGAAGAATAGGAAGTAGGGGAAAGGAAATATTCTTTGCTTTAGCTGGTGGCAAATCACAGACATGCCTGACTTTCATGTTCTCTGCCTTCAGGGAGGTCACAAGTCATTGGCTATAAAGCGCTTCACTGGTCCTGCTCTTAAATGCATTAGAGGGTTCTGCACTCATAGCTGCAAGCAGTGACCCCAAAACCAAGTTACCAGTCTTCTGTAAGGGATGGCAGCATGTCTTTAAATCTGTGTGTATACTTTCAAAAAATAATGTTCTGTCTCTTTCTGAATTCTCTGTTTCCTTTGGTATGTATGACTGCATGTATTTGAGTTGCTTCTGAGAGATTCTTTAGTCTTGCTGCACCAGTGACCTCTGCCTTCCCTGCTCATTGTTGAACAGTCAGAAGTCAGCTCTCATCTGAAGACAGGCAGCCAGAACTGCTGTCACTCTTTAGCCATGGACCAGGTGAAGCCAATAGAGCAGACATTTACTTCTAAGAAGCTCAGCTTTGGGTTTATTCTTTTTGCAAATTTTTGCAAATAGGAGATAAGTCTCTGTAGCAAACAAGTGTTATTGGATATCAGTGTCATCTACATGGACCTAAGTATCTGTCCTTCAATCTAGTCCTGCCCTGGATTCTTATTGGATGCTTGATTCTGTCATTGAACCATAGCCAGGCAAAAGCAGACTGTAACGAAGCTTATAAGTTCAACAGCAGCCGACACAAAACTTTAAGACAAGTTACAGTGGGGCAAACAAAATAAGACAAAAGAGAAGCCTGAAGAAAAGAACACATGAGGATCAAGGAACCTAAAGTACAACTGTGAGACTCTGGACAGATTTAATCTTGAGTTTGATAAGAGAGATTTGACTCTGGTTGTATTTTAAGCACGTTGATTCAGTAGCTCTTTGCAGACTCCATAAGAAACTTGATGAAGCTCACTAGCAGAAAATTTCTTTTTAATGCTCTGTTTAGGGAACTGGCTCTTATGTATGGGTAGACAGCTATTCAGGGGGAACATTGTGCCACAGCTTGGTAAGATCTGAGGATAGGTTTAGGAGCAGTGGAAGAGTGTATGTGCAGTGTTGAGTTTTCATTGATACCAAGTGGGACATTTAACAATGGGCAGGATGCAAGCTCAGTGAAAGTAATCTAGCATTTGTAAAGGGACGGATTGGTTGATTTTGTTTATCTTTTTTTAACTCCGAGCTTCAGTCTTACACTGTAACATGAATGACAGCACTAGTCTTGGATGAGAACGAAGTCAGTGGCGTGGGCAGCATCATGCTGCAAAGCGTTTCTGTATTCTGTATTTCTAAATTAGAAACCTGGCAGAGCCGTTGTACATTTGCTGTATTCTTTTGAGAGTATATGAGTTGTTTTTGTTATGTGGAAGGAACATTCTGTGCAGTAGCTAGACACTGGGAGGGATTTGGCAATGTCAGAGTTGCCTATCAGGATCATCATAATATTAATTTAGTGTTTAAGATTATAGTGTAATTAGCAACCGCTTAATTAATTCCCTCTTCCTCTGTAATACAGGCCAATCTGTTAGCTGCTTCTTTTTCAGTTGGAGGTGATAATTACCCTTGTGGACCAGAGATAAAATAAGAACCAACTCAAGCCTTCATGCAAGACTGATTTGAACCTCCCTCCACTTCAAAGTTGTTCTTTGAGATTGTGAAGATGCTTTGAAAAATTTTTCTACTGAATGGTCTCTGCAGCTGTGCAGGTCCTGAGTTGACCGGGGGCAAGAGAACCTGAAAATCCAGAAAAAAAATTTGATGTGTTCACTTTACAATTTGGAAAAAAGGAAACATAAGAAACCTAACCTCCGGAAGAAGGGAGTGTGTCTGTTTGTTACTGATTCCCATCTTGGTCCACTCTTGGATGCATTTCTGAGTTTTTGACTCTTTCCCTATTTTCAGTTTTGCTGGCTTTGTCTCAAACCAGGTTTGCTCTCCTTGCTTCCCTGGCTTTCCTGATGTGTTGACTGTACTTTGTGCCTTTCCTGGGCATGTTTATGGTGTAAAGTGGGACTGGTATCTGGGGTGCCAGAATGGAATGCTACCCCTTCAGTAGGGGGATTTGAAGAAAACTGACTTTCAGTGGGAGTTATGCAAATGGTTCTTCATGACAAGGATCTTGAAGTTCAAATGGCACATTAGTGGACAGGCTAGTTGTATGTTCCCTTCTCTCCCTCCAAACGTGACCTGTAGATTTCTCTCCCATTCACTGATGTTCTGACTGTGGAAAGAGAGGAACTTTAGTGATAGGAATTTTGAAATACCCCAGATTTATTTTCAGAAATCATTAAGGCACTTAAGAATATAATTCCATTGTCCATGGCGATGTCTAACAGGCTTGAGCTGGATCCCATATTCTGGTTTTGTAATTGGATATTTGACCCTTTGGCTCCATAGTTCTTTGTGCAGTTGAACATCCCCAAAAGTATCGCTGCTTGTGCTAATCTGAGTTTGTCTTCAATCACTCTGTTCCCTGCTGAGCCTCTACCCAGAGCAAGCTGGTTAGGCAGTTTGGAGCTATGAAGTGGGATAACTGATGTGGCACAGAAAGAGTCTGAATGGCCTCTGTTACTAGCAGCAGACCTTATTGTGGAAGCCCCAGATGGCTGACTGAAGATGGGAGTCTGCTGTGCAAGGTGCTGTACAGAGATTAGGAAAATGCTTTGAGCATCTCAAATAGCAGATAGTATAGGAGTGTCAAGTTTTGCTTATGTAAAGTGACATATCAGTGAGGTCCCTGCGCTTCTTTTTGTGTTCATTGAAATTAAAATGTTTTCATTTAATTTATTAATGAGCCTGTTGTTCAGGCTTCACTGTGGAGCCTGAACTTTGAAGTCTAAGATACATGCATTCTCTTTAACAGAAGTCTTACTGTTTTGATAACTGTAGAGCTTGCTCAGCATTTCTGGTTTCATTTGCAGACGGCAGTTATCACCTATGACTACCTGACCTCTCTTCGGAGTGTCCCATATGGATCAGAGGAGTATGAGTTCCTCAAGTCACAGGTAGGTAATAGCCCTCAACTGCATTCCTCAGAAACTGCAAGACACAGATGAGTTGCTGTAATGCTATCAGCTTAGTAATTCAATATGCTTTCTACCAGATTGTTAACAGCAGTATTAGATAATAGCCCCATATTAGATCAGCATCATGCAGGACTTGCGTTGGCCAGTGAAGAAGGTCCTTTGTCAAAAGTAGCCATATGCATCCATTGCTCACTTAAGTCCAGTAGAGACTCCTTGGTGTATGCATTTGGCTCTGCTGCCCAGACTGGTTGTGTGGCAGTCAGCTGCTGAGAGTGGCCTGGCAGTACTTTCTTATTCTGCATATTGTTTGGTAATGGCCATAACATAAAGGCCGACTGATTTAAGTAAAAGCAGTGTCTTGGAAAGAAAATAATAGAGATGAATCAGACTTGCAGATCTCTGAGGAAATGAGAATTGTGCAAAGAAGTGTACATCTCATTGCAAAACACACTGTTGTGTTTTGATATCAGTAATTAACAATAATAGCAAAAACGTTTCTAGTAGGAAGGAAGACAAGCACCCCTCTACTGCTCCTCTCAAGTCTTCTGCTGCATCTTTCATTCCAGCCTACAGCCCTATAGTTCACTGAGCTGTGAATGACACATGGTTTTAACTGAGTGTTTGTGATATATGTTAGCCAGAGTTGCTCTGCTACTCCAGTTCAAGGCCTCTTCGGGGTGGGAAGTACAGCTTGTGCCAAATTAGGCCAGTCTGCATAGTGTGTTTGATTGAAGTAAGGTCTTTAGCCTCTTTTTTCTTCTTGGTGCATGTAGGATTTAGGCCACTGGTGTGGTTGGTTATAAGGCATGGAGTGGTGCTCTCCAGGGATTCTCAGACTGGAATGACTATAAAGCTGGAAACAGCCTTGAGTAAGGTAGAATTCAGTGACATTGGACTCCAACATGCTTCAGTATTCCTCTGGCAGAAAATCCACATCATCAATATGGTCTTAGTGTATCTGGAACGGTTTGCAGAATGGCTTCCTTGGGCTTGTTCTCATCCTCTGTTGTCTAAAGATGCAAAGCTGTTCTAATGTAGCTCCCCATCCCAAGTGAGTGGCACTTATGCCCTGGCATAAACTGGAGATAGGTGTGTTGGAGTCTGGAGCTTCACTGTCCATCTGCCCAACATCTCTGCCCTGGACCTTTGAAACCTGGTTTGCAAAAGGGCTGCATGTAGCTTCCTTGAGCGACACCCAAGTTGTGGAGTTATCAGTACTGTGGACAGCTTATCATTTGGCAGAATTTGCAGCAGCTGTTGCAAATTCCTCATCGTTTGCCATGTATCTGCATGGTTTCATTAACCTCTGTTAAGCGGGTTTTGATGATTTGTCAATCCATGCCCCAGGCAGCCAGAAAGGGCCCTGTTTGCAAGCATTGCACAGAGCTGTGGCCTCCCTGCTTGGCAGCCAGGACTAGCTGCCAGGATTAGGCAGCTCCTGCATGTGGCAGAGCCAGTGGCAAGCACAGCATGCCAGCATGGCCAGCACTAGCCTTCAGGTGCATAAAGAGGGATGAGCTTGGAGATAGGAGGAAGCCAGCACAGCCATAGCATGAGTTGGTGAAACTCATTGACCAGTGGAGGCCAGTCCTGCTGTTGACAGGTGTTACAGAGTGCAACCACTAAGCCTGGCAGGAACAGCACTTGTGGGTTCCTCAGCAACATCCCTGTAGAGCTTGTGCTAGTGAAGCATCAGTTTGGCATAGGAGATATTTTGGATCTGGGCAATTGTACACCAAACTGTTTATCTCAGTGCAGTTTTAAGTGGATGGCAACCAAGTGTTTACCACCTTCCAGCTTTTTTTTGTTGTTTTCGTACTAGCTCAGAATGACTTGTAAGAAGTTACCCCATGGGAGCTGGTACTTAAGATTTGTCACTGGATAGGGCCTAGAGGATGTGAATGCCCTGCCCAAATAACTGTTTTAACAATACTTATACAGATGTTGCTTCTACTAGCTTCTGTCTTGGATAGATCTCTAGTACTCTGAGCCCTTCACTGTACTCTCTCTGTCCTTCTAATGAGGCCAGCTTAACCTGCTTTTCATATACTGAGTTTGCAATTTTCTTTTAAGCATGTGCATGAATTAGCTGCTGATTTCCAGATGCTGTGCCTAGAAGAGAGACTGTGAGGCAGGGTGTATATGTATGTGTGGGTGTGGGTGTGTGAGATTTGGTGACCATGGGACTGCTGATAGTGCCAAAAGGTCTGAATACGGTTTTTGTGCCTCTGTCTCCAGTACTGGGGTGCAGGTGCATATATGCCTGTGATGTGCTTGCAGCTGGGAGTGGAAAAACTCCTTTTCCTGTGGATCTCCTCTTGGTACTCAGCATACTGGTGATGCTACTCCAGTGCAAATAATGCTTAACTTGTTCTCCATGGATTCCCAGTGAGACATTAAACTGGGGTCTCCCAGTTACCCATGGGCTTGCATGAGAGATGGGAAGGTTCAGTGGCAGCACCAGTCCCTGAGCCTACTGGGGCCAAACAGGGACATAGTCATTAGGAAACAATTAAATGCAAAGCAGATTAAGAAGGAAATGGGTTCCCCAGTGACTTTTAGCCAGGTTCCTGCTTAGCTCCAAGGAATTATCTTCAATTTTACTATATATTTCTGTCCCTTATGAACCACTTTTGATGCTAATACTCTAAGCCCCTCTGTTCCTCAGTTCCCAGCACTTTTTTATGGCCAGCAGATGGGAAGTGTTTTACTACTTTCCTTTAGGTGGCAAGCAGTAGATGGGAATTCACTGTGTGTCCTGAGGTTAGTTTGCCTCTCCCTGGATCTCCTGTCAACTAGGAGATATGAAACCCACTTGCCAGATGGCACACATCACTGTCCCTCAGCAACAGCTATTTTTCATTCCTGCCCCTGCCTGAGGCAGAGATGAACCTGCTTATGTGCTCGGGCTTTATGTCCTTCCCAGTGGTTGCTTCATTTCACCATGGATGGCTCAACCACATTGAAAACTCAATCTTTCTTCTAAGTTAGGGGTCCTTTCCTGGTGTGTGGGCCTTCTTCCTGCATATGGTGGTACTGCCAGTGTACTGATGTCAAGGGCAGTGGTAGCCATGGCTCCAAGACATCGTATATCTGAAGGTCTAGTGTCAGGAGCGTTAGGGGAGGTATGACCTTTCTTCAGTTCATGTCTGTTTCATTAAATGATTCTGGACATCTTTGCACATGTAAGCTTAGGCATTTCTTTTCTATTCCTACTGGCACTGGACCAGAGGAGGAAGGAGGGCAGCCTGCTCAGTGCCATTTCCTTACCTGTTGTTTTCTCAACAAAACATTTTATTCTGTAGAAGGCTGCATTTCTCTGACATTCTTCTGCCTCAGTGAATGTTGGCCCTTTGCAATGTATGTCTCCTCAGTACCAAGTCAGCTTACCATGTGACATTTCCAGAGAGGTGTTCCTCTCAGTGTAGGATCTGGATGTCTTGGCTGACACTCCTTCATTGCTGGCATAAATTTCTGTTGATCCTGCTGTCAGTCAGGAGGTGTGTCACAGCATGCAGTTTGTTTAAGTGCTAGTATCAATGGAACTCTGGGTTGTCAGTGTAGCAGTTGCAATGGGTCAATTGTCTTGCAGATTTTGGCACAAGTGGTCACAGTTTAAAATCTTGAGCAGAACATCTTTTTGTTGTTTTCCTTTGTTGGACAAAAGGTTACTGCTTTGAGGGTTGCTTTTTTTTTGTAATGAAGAGGAGATAGCAAGGAGAAAAAGGATCTGTGGGCAAGGTATCTCAGAAGACAGTGGGAATCCATTCTTGAATTAACTTCATTGGCTACAAAATTGCTTTGTCAGGGACAAGACATTTGGGGAGATTAATTAAAAGTCCTCCTTTTGAGAGCAGAATGAGGATGTTCTCCTCATTCAAATTTATGGTTATTGGGCTGTCAGTACCTGGGCAAATATTTGGAAAGCGTAACCTTGTGCCATCATTATGCAGAATACGATTTCTTGCTCCTTGGAGGTTCTTCCTGGCTTCACTATGTTTACTTCTCACAGTGGAGTAGGTATTTTCAAATTGAGTTTTGTCTCACAGTGAAGTGGCACAGTTGAAGGATCTTGGAAAGAAGAGAAATGAATGTATGTGTGTGTGTGTGTTTTCAAAAATAATCTACAGTTTCTGGGTAGTTCAGACCAATGAAAAAGCCTGTGTCTTTGAACTTCCCTTGTGATTCAGTGACACTGTGTGCCTTAAATATTAAGTGATGTCCTAAAATAGTTTCTTCCTGATGGAAATGGACTGCATCTGCAGAGACAAGTCTTCAGGAACTCTCCATGGTATTCCTTCAAAAAAGCAACTGTGAATGGGGATTTTGGGCTGTTCTCCACCACAGACAGTGTACACAGTGGTGGGTCTACTTGTACTTCAGCCTCTGGTGAACTGAGAAAAATGAACTTTCCTATGAGACACGAAATAGCCATTAGATGGCAGTGACTTTCTGTCACCAAACTAACTGGGAACCAGTAATAGAGAGGTGAAGAGCTTCAGAGCCATCCACAGTCCCTGAGCTGCTCATGTTTGGTTGCCCTATTATGTGCTCCCTGGGATATCTCTTCATCTAAAAGGCATGGTCAACACTAATGCAATCTAAAAAAGCTACTCTCAGGGCCAGCTGGTGGCTTGATGACTCTACATTTGAGCGCTGCTGTCTAGCAAACTTCCTGCCAACACATAAAGAGTGAAAGCTTTGCACTGAAAACATAACAAGCTGTAAAATAAATGTTATAATTATAAGACACTTCCTTTTCCTCCTTGTGCTTTCTGGAGTGGTGTCAGCTGAATGCTCTGGCCATAGCATCTCTAGGTTTTAATTTTGTGGCATTAAAAAGGTCCATTTTTTGTGGGATCTGTCCCTATGAAACTAGGTGTTCTTCAGTCATCTGCAGTGATTTATTTAGAAAAATGGCCCATCTACTGTGACATTTTTGAAGGAGGAAGGAGGAGAAAAGTGAAGGTAAGGAGGCA